CTTTAGGAATTTGTTGGCTACGTGTCTTTGAGTTTCCTAGTTATCAGGATTACATGTTTTATTGTTTTTAGTGGCTAAGTGGTTGCTAATTTCTAACTTAATTTAGTTGTTGTTTTTAGCCCATTTTGTAAGGTCGTTTTCTTTCTCTTGAATAAAATGAACAGATGAATTTCCTCTTCCAATTGGCTTGAGTTTACATTCCTTTTGTTTGTTTCACTTGCAAAATCTGCTTATGCCCAGCAGGTGTTAGATTTAATTTCTCAAAGAATATTCACCTTAAAGCTTTTGTTCAACTCTGTTTTTCTACAGGTGGAGCCTTTTTTTAATGCCAAAGAAGATTTCAGCTGGAAATCATGGCATTAACGGCTTAACCAGTAGAGTGGCAATTTCGTAATTAACCAAAAAGCCCAATGGATCATTCCACAGGAAACTGGTCCATCTTCTTCTTCGATCACTGCACCACCTTCACTCTTTCTCAGACTTGGCAATGACGGCTTCAAAATCTCCGTCAGCAGCAACGAAGCATCATTCACCGATAAAAGCAGAAGCCAAGGCAATCTCTTCACTGTACGCCACAGGGAGAACGATGGTGTTTGCTTATGGCGTCACATTTGCTTTTGTTGTTTGTACGGCTTTCTTGGTGCCAAACCCATCTTCCAGTTCCTCTCCTTGGATAAAAAACTTCCTCAAGTCGTCGTCTTCCAGTTCCCGGTTTTCCTCTCTTTTCTTTTCTTTTGTTTCTAATTCTTCCCAAACCGATGGCAATCCACTTCCTTTCACTCGGCCACCGGCCGCCCCTTTCCGGTTTCTTGGGAAAGCGGCGGATTTAGTGACAAAAATGCGTCTTTGTCCAGTGATGGAGAAAGTGGAGCGTCGGAGGATGTTCGGGTATTCAATCAAACGGGTACTTTACTTTCACTCCGACTGTCTCTTTCTCTCAGCTTCAAGCCTGCTCGTTCCGTTAGCATTTGCCGGATCCTGGCTTCCATCTCTGACTTACCTCAGGGGAGCGAGCCATCTCCGTCAGCCAGAGGTGCGAGGTCGTCCTTGCCACAAGAATATCCCATATTTGAGGAAAATGAATCTTAATTTTCTGTGTTCTTTCTTATATAGTTTGAGAAAACAACACTTGTTTTCTTTAAGTGTTGTAAAAGTACAAGATGGTGTGTATGTACCTATGTAGAATGATATATATAATAACATGAACAATTAATTAGATTTTCCCCTGGTAATCCATGGATTTTCTGCTACCATGTCCAACTTTGCTTAGGATCTGTAAAAATGAAAAAGCAAAAAAATAAAAAAATAAAAAAAATAAAATAAAATCTTACCACATGTTAATCTTTCGGACTTCAAATTTTGGGTTTTTTTCAAGGAAAGACTAGCACCTTTGCATAGAAGGCCTTGGAGCAAATCTTTGTGTTCAGGATCTAGTTCTTCCGGAAGTATTAGAGGGCTGTTCACAATCTGTTTAAAAAAAAGGGTAAAATTTAATAAATGCAGGGAAATTGTATTGTAGCAGAAAGATTTTATGGTAATACAAAGTTGTTATCTTGTTGTAAGTCTCTGGTAAGCTATCTGATAGAAAAGGATGGTAGCCTACTACCATGCAGTGCAGAGTAACGCCGGCAGCCCATATATCAGCTGCTTTTCCATTGTAAACTTTATCTGTTATCAACTACGCAGCATTAGTAGCCATGTATTTGATACAGTGCTTTCAACAATGTCACAAGCATGCATATGGAATTTGAAAGCACAGAAATTCTTTGATAGTTGGATTAATAGTTTAATACACTTACTCAGGCAGCATTCAGGTGCCATGAAGGCAGGGGTTCCATGGTACCTCCAGAGCTCATCATTGTCATCCTACAAAATTTGAAGTTAAATATCAACATGAGCACAAAATCCTTTGTCTCATGCACACAAGTAACCATTTTTATGAGGGAGCAGACACTCACTAGAGGTACAAAGATAATAGTTTCTGAACAAAATCAGTCACACTAAAATATGGAACTGATCTTTTCCATGCCAATTCTTCATTTTCCTTTTATTAATATGTAGCATTACCTCAAAGGCATGATATGCGCTGAAATCTCCAATTTTCACCCTTCCACTTCTTGTGAGGAGAAGATTTTCCGGCTTTATATCTCCATGCGCAATATTCTGTCAAGAGAATAAGTGAAAGAGAATTCAGCCTAAGTCACACTAACAGAATGCTCCTTGAATAATTTGCCTCTACTTTTGAGAGAAAAGGGTAGAGGGTCATAAACATATTGCTTTTGCTCTCATTCTAAAATAACTCACATGGCTATGCAGATAAGTTAGACCTGCAACTATATCTTTGAAATATCTTCTTGCGGTTATCTCATCTATGTGTCCCCTCGTTTGAGAAATGTTGTTTATACCATTGCCTTCCACGTACTCAAGAGCTGCATGATCACAAATTCATTTCAGGAATTTATGCTAAGCTCCATGAAGTTTTTCATTTAAAAGACAGAAGCACATTGGATAACCGTACCCATATAGAGATAATCTGATCTTTGGTCATCTATCACTTCAACAAGGTTAACTATGTTTGGATGATCCAGTACCTTCATCACTGCAACCTGCAATCATGAGACCTCATTCTCGATTTTTCAATGCTTTGAATTAATTAGGGAATCAGAAGATAATTCTAAAAGGATGTTGATTGGAGTATGTTACTTGATGATCAAATGTTCTTTAGTTTCAAGCAAATTCTGAGATGGAAAATATTACCTCTCTAAGAACATTGGTCATGGCTGTTTCTGACTGTGTCACACGCACCTTGCGCAATCGAGGCTTGCAAATTTTCTAAAACAACACAAAGTTATGTCCATATCATAGGTGTTCATCCAAATTCCAGATAGTGGCTATCAATGCATCGTGTACCGAATATTAAAAGGAAAGAGATTCTACCACTTTTTAACACCAATGAAAAACTGAAATATAGAATAAAGTAAAAAACAACTAGAACTTGAGTACACAACTTATGGAGAAAAGAAAATTTCCAGCTACCTTTAAAGCATATGGATTTCCATCACTAACGTTCCGATGGAGTCAGCAAATTATTTTATTTCTGCTGCCATCTAAACCTCCTAAGTCCTAAGCAAGGCAAAAGTTACCACTTTCCCGTAGCTTCCTCGATTAATCTCTTGCTCCTTGACATATTCATTGATCATCTTCTTCCCATTTAAATGCTACATATATAACATCAAAATCTGGTTAGAATTCAAACATAACTTCAACTATAATTTTAATAGAACACAAAGCACTAAGAAGAATACAGTTTCTTGAAAACTACCTTAGCATATTTAACAGAAGTAGTTTCTTTAACAGGAATCTTCTTCCTTAGCATGCATGGAACTGGCAGTTCTCGGTCTGAACCAGGAAAAGAACTTCTACATGATGATTTTTCATTGAGAAACACCTCTGCCTTATCTTGAAAATTAGTTTTGGAGGTAATGAGTAACAAGGACTTCTCAGGATTGTGAAGAACTGGGAGAGAATTGCAGCAATTCATGGCCTCACTATAATTGTAACACAGCACATTAGACATGGCTAATACTATTCTTCTTGGAAAAGCTTCAACTCTCGAAGTGAGATAACACAAATGATCAAAACCAACTGAAAATTTTCATTTCAGTGTACTTTATTCAACATCAAGAAATAGGCAGGTTCCTGAAACCGCTTAAGAACATGGTCTTCATTCAACCAATGCAAAACTCCAAATTTTCATCTTTTGCTCTCTACCATTCATTCTAACATTGTCATAAGAGTTGTTCACTCAAAAGCAAAAGGTAAACGTAATGAAAAATCAAGAAGGTCTGCGTCGGCAATAGTTTCAAGATTAGTGTCTTGACTAGCAGGTTTGCGGTCTGCTGCAATGTGATTGTCATAGAACTCTCCACGTAAGAACACATTGATAGGACTATCAATTTATTTATATAGTTACTTGAGGGAAAAGATGTTAATACCGCCACTAGATTCTTCCCAATTGTGTGTTTCACCCAGCTAGTTTACTCCCCAATATGACCATAACTTTCTGCGTGTTTCTTCGATCATCCAAAATGTAGTGAAACGGTCATTGTCTAATAAAATAAAAGTGCAAATATGGGGACGTAGCTCAGATGGTAAAGCACTCGCTTAGCATGCGAGAAGTAGAGGGATCGATACCCCGCATCTCCATTCTTCGTTTTTTTCCCCTATATAGGTCGCCAACTCCGTTTGAGCAGTTTCACATCTCTGAGATTGCTGAGGACCACAATCTCGGTCCAGAACACTACGATCTCTATGGCAAATAAAAAAGCCAAGGTTTGGAATCCAGTGCAACTCTCCATTCTCCGGTACAGCACCGCCATAGCAATCCCCGCCATTCCTTAGTGCAGAGAAAGCCCCAAATCGAGGAGAAGAGAAAATTGTCGAGAGAAGAGTTGGATAAGATTTCTCACGGGAACGATGATTTCTGGAATTTTGCCAGATTTGACAATGATGATTTCTGGTTCTCTTGGGAGAGATTTGAGTAGAAATAATATGGAGGGTCCATTACCATTACCAGCATTCCCTCATAATGTCACATTCATAAACCTCTCAAAAAATAGGTTTTCTGCTTCAGTTTCTTAAGTCTAGGAATTGTGAATTTAGCTGAAAATCAATTATTTGAGAAAATTCCAAGCTGTATCGGATCTTTGTACCAGCTTGAAACGTTTAATTCGCGTGACAACAGTTTCTCTGGAGAAATACCTTGGCCTTTAGGGGATTGCAGTGCCTTGCAATTTGTGGACTTGAGTTATAAATTTATAATAGATTTCGGGAATAGTACCAGCTTGGATTAGAGAAAGGCGAAGATCGCTAGCTTTCCTTCTCCTGAGATCCAATGATTTTGCCCTTGTAGTTATGCTGCTTGACAAATATTGTGCTAATGGATCTCTCCAACAACAATCTATCTGAAAGCATACCAAGGTGCATGCATAATCTGACTGCATTAACAAAAAGGTAAAGTTCAGTCAGTAAGCATGGTTTATTAATTATTGATGAGTATTTCTTTCATGCAAGAAGCTACGTTGACAAAGCATCTGTAATGTGGAAAGGAATGGAATGTGATTATGAGGATGGTGATCTCAAAAGTCTGAGGATCATCAATCTTTCAAGCAACAAATTAACAGGAGAAATTCCAGTCAAGATTTCGAGTCTCTCCGGACTGCATC